GGCGGGCAGCGCGCCAGCAGGGCGCGCGTGCGCGCGCATCTAACCGCCGCTGTGATGGCAAAGGGGTGCAGCGAAGCGCGCGCCGCCCCTGAAGGGAGGGGCTTCAGAGCTATACCTCGGGGACGGCGAAACATACGGGGCCCAGACCATCGGTTGTGCTACGGATTGAAAGGGAATTTCATGCTTTCCGCCGGCCAGGCGTGTGCCCGACGGCCCAAGGAAAGCCTTGACCTGAGCCGGGGCAGGTGCCCGCCGGCTTCCGGGCCCGCGGGTCCGCGCCACGGGGCTGGCGCGCGAGTGCAAACGCCGGGCGCGCAAGCGTGCGATGCGGCGCAGCCGGCTGCGCCCTCGAGGTGCGGCGGCGCAGCCAGGTGCGGCCGCGGGGCGGCATTACGCCGTGTCGATGGGGATTTTCGGCGATGCGGCCGCTGTAACCTGCGGCGGCATCCCTTGTTTGGAGAAGAGGTGTGTTGCGAAATCAGCATTTGTGACCGCCGGCGTCCAAAGCGGGCCGAGCGTCTGTGGAATGAAACCAGCTCTATTGCTGCGGGGGCGCGCCGCTGCCCGCGCAAGTGCGGCAGCGCCGCGCCGCGCCGGCGCTCCAAGTCGGGCGCCGGCGCGCACGCGCCGACGCCTGCCCGCTGTCCGCGCGCAGCGGGTGTGCGGGCGGCGGCGGTCTGTTGGTTGAGAGGCACGTTCAGGTGTGGGTGGCGTGTTTCACCGCCGCGCGATTCTTTGTCGCCAGTCGCAACAGCGGCAGAGGCCGCAGCTGGGCCCAACACAAGCAGAGGGAGCTAACAGAGCCGGACGCCAGAGGGAGCTAGCACAGCTGCATGCCGCTGTAGGGGCTTGCAGAAATTGAAAGTGTCGTCACAATTGCATCAATGCCTGGCGGCCGGGCCGGGGCCGCTCCTAGCTCGCCCTCCCGCACGGCCCCCAGGAATCAAGAAGAGCACCAACCGCGGCCACGGCCGCAGACGGGTCCGCGTGCGCACAGGGCCTCTCGCGTGGCACCGCCCCCGACGCCTGTGCGGCGCGGGGGCCCGCCAACGCGGCGTGCCGCCGCCCGAGGGCGCGTGCCTGGGGGCGGCCGCGGGCCCCTGTCCCTCAGGCCGGGCCCCGAGAGAGCTGCTGGTCGTGCTGCGCGTGCTGGGGGCCGTGGCGGCCCACCGGCAGCATGGGGCCGCCCAACGGATGGTGCGCCGATGTCATGTGCTGCAGCCTGCTCGGCTGCTGCAGCTCCAGCTGCGGGCCGAGGCCCAGGCCGGGGGCGCCCATGTGCATCCCCAGGTGCCCCAGGTGCGGCGAGCCCACGCCCACGCCCATGCCACCGCCCCCGCCCACACCCAGCCCCAGGCCGCCCATCGGCAGGCCCATGCCCCCGCCGAGCCCGGGGTGCCCAAAGCC